GTGTGTGAGGAGTGTCTCTAGGGTCTATATTAGGGTCTGTATTAATCTCTGTGTGTGAGGAGTGTCTCTAGGGTCTATATTAGGGTCTGTATTAAAGTACACCATTTTCTCTCAATCTCAATCACCATTTTTCTCTGCCTCTTCCCATCAGAGAGCAATCAGGGTGCGCAGCCACTCATTTGATACTTTGGGGGGTCCCAGGAAGGTGTCAGGAGGGTCTCCCCAGAAACAGAAAGGACCCCAGATTTCTGTGAGAACCCGTCTGTCTAACTTTGCTCACGCTTCGCTCATCTCATTCTGGCTGCCTCCTCCTCAGCAGGGCCCAGACTATACTGCCTGCTTCTGTTTCGGGTTTGTCAGACCCCTTCGCTCAGTTTTAATACACCTCGATACCTTGATTCTAGCTCCCTCAGACTTTCGGCTTTTTTCAGACAGTTTCAGCCTCTTTGGCCCTGGTAGACGAGGATTTAGGTTCGGGGCTGCTTCTGATTTAATCACAGACTGGGGCATCTCTGTCCCCAGGGGCCTCCTAAACACATAGGGAGCACCGGAGCGTCCCTGGGGTTTGTACATGAGGTGCTTCCCTCACTGAATTCTCAAGCGGGACCGTATGAAAAGGAGACTGGAGCCCAGGTCTGTGGAGGAGCTGGCGCCCTCTTGTGGCCAAGACAGGACCACCAGCTTCTTCCTGATACCTTCTGGGTACAAGAGGGTTTCCATCCCGTGAGGCCATCTCTCTCTCCCTCCATCTCTCCTTCCCGACTCGCTGCCTCCCTGTCGGTGTAAGATGAACGTGCTGAAAGTGTTCGGAAGGTCAGTCTGTATGGGTGTTAATCCCTCCCTCTCCTTTCCCTCTCTCCCCAGGCCTCGTCGGCTGCAGAGAAGGAGCTGGAAAGGTAAAAGGCAGGGAGACGCACTAACACTTGCTCCGAAGGACATGGACACACCCAGACTCCTGACACTGACTCCCGGACACCAAGATACACGCAGACTCACCCACGCAGACACATAGTGGCACACTGAAAAGGGTCAGACCCTTCCCAGAACACCTCATGCCTCTGGCCAATCAAGCTGGAGACTTCTTGATTGGAGTGAAGAACATGAGTCTCTCTCTCTCTTTCTCAAGCACAGCCACAGGCCTTTATCTTTGGATATGAGCAACATGTCAATACAAAAACATACCTTGTTGTATGGGAGGTTAGTAACGGTTTGTGGCCATATATACAATACAAAATCAGACAGTTTAGCCAGTTTAACTGGGGTCAGCCTTGGCACTCCAAAGTCCCTGTTCCCACCT